ATCTTTTGAAATAATTAACATTACGTGCTATGCATTATTTTTATTATCACCATATAATCCCTATTATAGCATATAAATAGCAACTACTATTTCTGAAGTTGCAAAATATTTTCTATTACAGTCAAATTTTTACAAATGCCACATTCTTCTCAAAGCATTCATCGTGGCATGGAAAATCCTCCATACTTGCTGTCTTGTCAGATGCTAACATTTTCAATTTATTTTGTGTGGTTTTGTAAACTGTGTTGACATCAGTATGTAAATTATGGGACTGTGGAAAAGTAGGTATCTGATGCTGATGTCTCCCACAGTGAAGTTGGTTAGTTTGTTTTTTCTTAACAGATTAATTTTTTTAAAAAACGTCTACTTCAAAAAAATGAAAATGGGTTGAGCTATCTACATTACAGTTGGCGTGAGGATTTTAGGAAGAGGTTTTTCTAGAACACTTTGAAGTAGCATGGAAGAGCAATGGTTGGTATCTGGTGATTGGATGGCTGTTAGATTTGCAACAGATTTTTTTTCTCCCCTTCTTTTCAGGAAAAGAAACATGAATGATTGTAGTAAGTTATTGCTTAAATACAAACAGCTAGGCACTGACAAGTTTCTGACTACTAGGGAAGAATTAATCGACTTAACTATACATATTACTTGTTATGTATGTGGCAGAATCAAAACAGCCTACTGCAAACAGCATCTCCTGCAAAACCTTGCTGTTGATCATAAGAAAATATAATCTTTCACTCAAAATAAAAGTATGATTTACATAGACATAATATGAGAATGAAAAAGAAAAATTATTGCCATTTTGAGGCTAGCTAGCTTAAGTATAAAGACAGTAAGTCATTGACTAAATTTCATTTTTTTAATCACAAGCTATTAATTTGTGTAACTGTAGAAATGTTTTTAATATTTTCTGATTGTACGTTTTCCCTTGTAGCCAGTTCCAATTCCTCAATTGTTTGAATATTTGCAGAAATGTCATTTAACTGAAGTCAGCAAGCCAACTGAAGGAACAAAAGAGTGGTCCTTAATTCACGCTTCTGAAATACTAAACACACATTGCATCAATGGCAATAGAAACAAAAGTAATGGTAAACTTTGAGACTGTATCTCTAAATAGATGAAATCTAATTTTTGCAATAGAAATACTTTACTGTACATTCAAAATATAATTTTTCCCAGTAAAAATTTTGCACATTGGCTTCAGAAAAATATGGCTCTTAACCTGAAGTTCAGATTCTGGTTATTTTCCAAGTAAATATCCAAGTATTTAGAAGGCAAATGAAAACAATCCTTAAGATGGTATTAGAGGGCAAAGAGAAAAGGTGGTTGGGACTTCAGGCAACCTAAGACCTCACTCAAAGATAACTCTTCATTCAAAAGCTATACATTTTACAACTGTTTTCTTAAATAAATATATTTGCTGTAACTTTGGTCATTTTCATGTTAATAAAAATGCTGCAGTGTTAGTGCCATGAACAAACTAATAGATCCAGGTTAGATCCTTTCTTCTGTCTTAAGGCATACATTATATAGTTGACGTGTTTTCCTTGATCCTGTTTGGGGCACAGGACAACTGAGGTGATTCAAATAGCTCTAAAGCAGACATTTCATCATCTTCCAGAGTTTTGGGTAGTAATTCTTTCCAACTTCCAGTCCACCCAACATTTGCTTAATTTCAAGGGGGAAAAACAGGGTCTTCTGTTAGAAAAAAGCTTTCTTTAAGTTTTTTTTCTTTCAAATACAGGTTAATCTTGTTTGGCTTGGGAAATTTCTGTCAGAGTTATGTGAAATACATTTTTTCTGCTGGTGTGCAAGTAACATCTATAGTCACAATCACTCACTGGTGATGCAACCTACAGTAGGATTTGATTTACATTAGGACTGTTCTATACTAGCATTTGTTTCTGCGGAATTGCTGAAGTCAGTTCTGACTGCCAGCTACAGACAGCATCTTCTCTTTGCTTCAACAAATAGACCTTGAATTTTTTTTTAAACTTTTTTTTTAAATCTTGTATCGTGGCCTCTTATCATCAGGGGTACCACAGATGCATTACAACCAGTGACTGTATAAAACATAACAATGAAATGGAGATGGACCAGCATTCAGCAAGAACATTATTACTTTCTTGCATGTTTTCATGTGTTGGACCTCAGAATATAATTCAGTGCTAGTAAGGCCTATGTAAGTGGAGGAACAATACTAGAGAGAAAATGTGTGTGTCCATTTGACCAGAAAATTTTCAGTCTCCACCTGCTCTCGCTGAGCATGGTTTTGCTATTGCTATTATTAGGACAAAAACAGGTCCTGAGTGCTCCATCATGTCAATTTGTGTGTGTGTGTGCATATAGATATATATAAAGAGCAAATGCATATATTTTTTTAGACGTTTTGCCAGTATTTGAGCAACATAAGTCAGAAATATTGGAGTAAAGAAGCACAATTATCCATTCAGATCATTCAGTTACTCAAAACCAGTCCCTGAAGTTGCCGCAATGTAAAGCCTGACATTTTTGGTCCTTGATGCAAGCCAGAGCTACAAAAGCTCCAGTGCTGTCCTCCTGCAAATCAAGGTTAGTCAAGGAGTGGACCATGGTGGCTCTGCCAGCCCCGTTGGCTTTGGCTATCATCTTTGCACTGATGACTGATGACTGAAGCTTCTTCCATCTTTTAAAATTTTCCAGTCATGGGTGGTAGCCTGCTTATCTGTTATCTCTTAGTGAGAGTGGTTCCATCAGCTTAGAAGAAATGTAGTCCACTGTCTGAGGATTCTTCTTCTCCCCTTCCCATCACCGTTGACACTAGTTCCTGCCATGTAGGCCCTATTCTGGGATCTTTTTTTACTCTTTTCCCTATCACACATATCCGGAACATTGTACTACATCTTCCTACATCTTCTCTGTCAACATGTTCAAGTCCCACAACATTCTGTAATCCCAAGGATCTCTCTCACTTTGTCCTTCATTAAATGCCTTGAGAGATGGTCAACCTGCTCAGTACAAGCACAAGCTTCTAACATCTGCTTTGAAGCAAGGCCTGTGTTTGCCCCTCCCTGCTTATCAAATGGCCCTGGCTCAATCTGCGCTGGTAACCCTTCCAGTGTTGCTGATACAGCTTGGCTTTCTCACCCACTTAGTTTCTCTTGGCACAGCTAGCAGCACCTTCATTTCTGTATTCTCTGCTCTTCTTTGCAAAGCATTTGCTGTAGTTCAGCCAGCAAACGATGAGGTGCCTTAACTTGATTGCAAGTTTAAAATGTCAAAACATCTTATTTTCTAATAAAATGTTTAATGAAATATTCAGGCTACTCTTTGAGCAGCTATGGTCTTGGATAATTTTATTGTTGTTGCAATTCTTTAGTTCTCTGTTAAGAAAAAGATATTTTTCATGGACAGCGCAAGACACATGCAACCTATGGAGTGGAGTGTTTGTGTGGGAGGCGTTGTTCTACATAAATCTTTGATTTAGTTTAAAAAATGAAAGTTGTTCACAAGTTTACAGACCACTGCTATTTCTAGCAACCTTCTTCAGATTAAATTAAAACAATTCAAAACACTGTTTCAGCATTTTTAAAGCATATGTTTAAATCGCTTTCATTACTTTAAACACTTTTGATTAGTAAAGCTTCAATTTTAAAATTTATTGTTTGAAGACAGTTCAGGTAAACCCAAATTAAGTCTGTCCTGAATTTTCAAGGTATGTGAAAATACTAAGTTTCCATATCCCTAAACTCAACCACTTCTTTGAAAATCTGAAATTGTTACTGCACCAAAGAGCTGCTTTTGCCTTTTTTTTTGTTACCTTTATTCTGTTGACTTGATTTCTCTTCTACATTGTGGGGAACTGCCTTGAGTATTTGGGAGACTCCTCCACACTTATGACACTCATGACCATAACAGCTTAGAAGAATAATTTAAAAACCCCCAAAACTCTGTGCTAAAATGCTTTGAATGTTTGTCTGCTAAAAGCTTTTTATTTCTAGTATGTTTTTAACAAAACTCCCTTCATCACATTTCTGAGCATCAATGTACTCACAGCTGCATGTACTTTTCTTCTTTTTTTTTATATATGTTGTCATCATATTCTTAGCACTGTGAATTAGTGTGATGTAGAGATGGTGCTGACTTCATAGACATTTGCTTAATAATTTTGGGGGTTTTTTTTGCACAGTTCTGAACGTGGCTGGAAAAGCTACATAACACCTGTCAGATGCCTAGTTGTTATCTAAAGAAAACTAAAAAAATCAACTCCAAAAACAAAACAAAAAGCTCAGTACAAATTGCCTGTAATACAAGTTATTTTTAAGCATGAGAGCCTGTTTCCTATTACTCAGTAAGAGTTTAGCAATGTAGCCGTGACATTTACAGTTAAAGAGAAACATCTGTCTATACCTGAGACATCCTTTTTCTATAGAAAATGAATCCCAGTGCCTTCTCATAAAATCAAACAAATTCCTTTTGAGGAAGTGCTCATTGGGTGGTTTTAGCAAAATTAGAAGCAGTAAAGTTATTGGAGAAAGGAAACATACAAGTGTGAAGCAGATGACTTGAAGGTGACATCTGGGTCTGACTCTCCACAGACTGAACAAAGAGGGCAGGTGAACACCTCGTTCTTCCCTGCTGGGCCTCTGTACCCAAAAGGTATCATGGAGGCAGTTACCTGCCTGTAAAAAAAAGAGGGAGTACAAGTCATTGGACTGCAAGGTAAAAATAAAGATGGTAACAAATAAAGATGGTGACCCAAAGAGAGGAAGCTGTGTATTCTCCCTTGGTGGTGGTGGCTTCAGGGTCGCACTATGCCCTCAAGCAAGTATAGTTGTGAGAGAGCGTTTTGCCCTTTGCAGGCTGTGGGACCTGGAGGCATAATGATGAAAAAAAGTAGTGACTGCAAAGGTGTTATGGAGCTAAACACCTCTGAGGGTTCCCAGGGAACGCTCAAACAGAAATGTCAGGAGACTAGGTAGGTTTGCGTTTTGTTTTCCTTAACTACTTATGTTCAGATATTGATCAGTGGAATAAAGTTATTGAACAGCTGGGAACACCCTGTCCAGAATTCATGAAGAAGCTGCAGCCAACGGTACGGAACTACGTTGAGAACAGACCCAAGTATGCTGGCCTCACTTTCCCCAAACTTTTTCCAGACTCTCTCTTCCCAGCTGACTCGGAACACAACAAACTCAAAGGTATGTCTGAGAAAGCGACACGTTTGACGTGTCAAAAGCTACAGTGCAATGAAGGGGTTTTTCTATTCTTCTTCTCTCTAGCTGCACTCCCTTGTAATGCAGTTAGTTGCAGAGACAAATAACTGCACGGGTTTTGTTCAGCTGAGAGGCAGCTTTTGGAAATAATTTCTGGAGGCCCTGGTGCTTGGGCAGCCAAGGGAACATACATCATCACTCATGTGTTGAGCATATCCCCGGGGTTTTCTGTGTGATGTTACAGTACCACAAGGACCTGAGGTGTTCCTTTACTGTCATACTTAAACTTGTAACACAAAGGAACAACAGAACTTCCATTGGAAATCACAGCACTTGCAGTATTTTCTTTAATGTGAGAAATACCAGTTTAACGAGATGCCTTTGCTCTACTTTTGCTATACAACAGAAAAATATTAGCAGTGTCATCCAAAATGGTCTTCATGTTGCTGAGGTTCTACATCTGCTGTGGGCGGATTTCTTCTTTTGCAAAAAGCTGCGAGTCAGTTTGGATATGTGATGTAGAGCACTAAATTACAGTGTGACTAGGTGTATCCCTGTAAAATATAAGTTGCAATGATTTTAATCATATACTGAAGTCTTGTTTTACTTGAACAGGACATTGACCTTCAATTGGAAAGAATGTGAGTTTAGTTTAGAAAGGATTTCTTGACACAGCTCTGTAACCCCTGCAAACTTGTCCTGTGTATCAGTTCTGCACCACTTGAGTACTTGGGGCCCCTTTATTACACTGGCATGTAATGGTTTTCAATTGCTTTCAATTTGCATGTCATTACATTACCCAGAAAACTCTTCCAATTAACAACTGTCTCATAGCAAGGCTGCCGTCTCGTCTCTGGGATCAAAGTGAAAGGTCTGAGCAGATGCTTTTGGATACATGGAATTTTATACTCCTACTACAATAAAATTTAATGACAGAATTTTCTTGAGTTTGGAGCTAATGAACAGAAATTACTTTCAAACAGTGCTGTTATCTTTTGGATACAGAAAGCACATGCATTGGAGCATACCAAATACCAGATTCTAAGATATAGTTACAGAACAAGAAGTAGTGCATTAAAAAAATTCTGCTTATGTGTCATTGTATCATCCCATGCCCTGCCTAAATATTTTACCATAATGTAAGGTTAATGGTTTAATTGGATACTACTTTTATTTTTTCTGTGTCTGAGGAGATACCTAGTAATAATTTTGCACTTGTATCTCTTTACACTTTTTTCCTTTAATTTTTTTTTATTTACACAGGAAATAATTTTGAGCATGGAAGAGCTTAGAATATTACATTGATAGTAATACTAGAAATGTATGTTGTTATCATTTTTTTTTACATGGTTTTAGATGGTATTATATTTGTTACAAACTCTAAACAGTAAAAACAATTTGGGTAATAGCACGATGAGTATGTGGCCTGAGAGGCACAATGGGCTATATTATCAGGTAAAATAAATCAATGTTGCAACATAAAACTCAATGTATATATAAGGCTGTGCATTTTTGTAGTGGAGGATGGTGTGTCCCACTGATTTATGTGGGACAAACAAGACTTGAGCAGTTCCAAGGCACTTCCTTATGTGTTGATCCCAGGCTACAGATTTGACATTATTGCTTCTAATGGGATGCCCTAAGATAAGCCTGGTACCTAAAGCCTCACTAAAATAGTTAATGCCTTCCAGCAGGCTTTAAAACCTCCAAAAAAGTTTGGATGTTTTCCTGAGCCACGATAAGAGTACCTGTAAGTTTCAGGCTTTGATTTAGTAGTGCCATGATTTTAGACTTCATAATGCAAGCTTTTGTTTTCTGATCCTGGCAATAATACAAATTTCTCAAGTACATATTTCTTGGATATGTTATTCAGCCCCTGACACGGAATCTGCACACAACATGTAAAATCTCATTGAAGCTTGTTAGGGGAGTTAAGGTATACAGTCCTGATGTTGGCACCTTCCTAATGAATCTGACCTAAAATGACTATTGAAGAACTCTTGCTATTACAAGGCAAGGGGCAGAAGTGAATACAATCTCTAAAAGGGTTGTGTCCTTGTTACTTTCCTAACCTAATTAACCCTCCTCTGGAGGCAGTGATTGTTTTGTACTAATACTATGTTTATCTGATTCCATTGTTCTAGCCAGCCAAGCCAGGGACCTTTTATCAAAGATGCTAGTCATTGACCCAGCCAAGCGAATATCAGTAGATGAAGCCTTACAGCATCCATACATTAATGTCTGGTACGACCCAGCAGAAGTGGAGGCGGTAAGTGAGGCGTGACTCTTTACTTCAGATTGCTAAATGCAGATATGATTCATAGATTCCTGCTGCTTTACAGCAGCTTGACAACGAGCATGCTATAAAGAAACAATGCTGGTATGACTGAGGTGGTCTTTGGGTTTATAGGAAATGAGACCTGTAGGGACAGGATATATCTCTTTGTTAGATTAACTGACAATATATAAGAGAAGCATAAACACTTCAAGCATATGAAGTCGTTTCTGCTTTCTTCTAGACAACATGAAAGAACCAGTATTTTGAACCCAGTAACTCATGTGGTTTTTCTAGCTATATAAATCAGTCTGGCAAAAGATACTTTCTCTCTAAACTTCTCCATGCGGAAAACAGCAAACATCACTTACTATGTTTGTATTCAAGGATATATGTGGAGAGGAGGAGAATTACACAAAACAATACAAAATCCTGAAGTCGGGATTCAGAAAAAATCTTAGCGGGACATAAATTTTTCCATAAAATAAAGCTCATGTGTTCCTGGGCCATGGTTCAATGTTTTGTATCATGTACACTGTGTGCAAACAGAAATGGATTTTTTCCTATAATCCTGTCATGCTCTAGACACCTCCCTGTATACCTTGATGAGGCTGGTCTTAACAGGAATAAGTGTGATCTTTAGGCACCTCTGTGATATGGTATATGTGTATAGGTATAAATTCAGAGGTGTTGTCTGCAAGACTAATCACATGTGAAAACTGAGCTCAGTATTTCAACAGATTTAGAAATCTTACTTAACCCAGGTCCTAGTTGTCTAAGACCCTGAACCTTGCAAACTTAAATCACTGCTGTTTAGCAATATGCTCCAATTCAGTGTGAAAGTGTAATAAACTTCAAAAGTAAACGGAATTCATAAAACTCCCTCAAACTTCACACACGTAGGATTTGTGCAGACTATGTCAATTAGGAGTGCTTTATAGGGGATGGTTCTGCTATCTAGAGAGCCTTTAGTTTTTGTGTCCTGTTTAGTTTTCTTCAAGAAAAAAGTTTATCAGTCTGAAGTGTAAACATTTGATACCTTGTGGTATTTTACCCCGACATGTACATTTTACTACCTTCCCTCTTGAAGATCTTGTTTCATTGTCATCGTTGTATTTCCATGCATTTCTTAACTCCGTTTTATGGAACTACTCTGATGTCAGAACTCAGATTTGAGTCCCTCTTTAGATGTCTTTGCCTGTGAATTTAACCACGGAGAGCCACTTCAGATGCAGAACAGGAAGGGAATTTGGTATAGTGGATATTTCGATGTAATGATTTTCCCCATTTCCAAATGTATGGTCTTAGTTGTCTTTCAGATTGAAGCAGAGATTGAATTTTTGTCATAATGAGGCTGCCCTCTTAGAAGGAAAAACTTGCCACACCTGCCTAGAATTAGAGCTGATCTTGAACCTCGTATCACTGTCTTCTTACTCAGCCAGGGTTACATGAGAGGTACTTCTGTGGTTGAAGAGACAATGGTTTAATTTCTGTTTGTACCATTGAGTCCTCACATGATCTAGAACAAACCACATCCTTGCTCTGGATTGTGACTGTAAAACATGAATAAAAATTATTCGTTTTGCCTGCCGGGTGAATTGGCTGGAATTTAATGAGCCCATTAGCTTGCAGAAGCCTGCAGTAATTACATTCTAGTTCATTGAGGCATTTGTCTCTCACATGTACCTCCTATCACTGTACAAATGTGGTGCCACATGCTATCAAATCACATTCCTTGCATTTTCACTGTTGGCTGCATTTCATAGCTCAGTAAAGAACTACAGAAGGTGTAAAGCAGTGGAAAACCAAACTGTCATTGCTCCCATAGCACCTCAAAGAAGAGAGGACATCCTGTGAGGAAGGAGCAGTGCCTTTAAATGTTCCACTTCAAATGCCAGTGTTGCCCCAGTTATTTGTAGTTTTTGTCTCTGTCTGAATTGCGTATTTTTAGATAACCCTCTATACTTTCCACCCATCTGGTATTTTGCACAGTTACTGTGTAGTTACCACCAGCTGAACATCAGTGTCCCCAGTTGCTTTCTCCGTCTCTCTTAGCTTCAAAGTTTTCTCTTCCAAAATATGCTGTATCTTGTCAAAAACATACTACAGAATCATACTAATACTTTTGTTATGAGTACTTTGACAGTGAAGTGTTACTTAATTGCTTTGACACCAATCACTCTATGGCACAGACACCCTTTCTCTCTTGGGATCACAGCAGGTTAAAAACCAGGAAGTCTCAGGTCATGTGCAGCGTAACCTAAATAGAACATGGGATTAATAAATATTAATTGTATTTTTTCACAGTGCTAGGAATTCTAGAAAGAGCCTGGCTTCACTTAATGCTCATTATTTTTCCAATCTCATCTTCAGAGGCAAAGTTAAACTGGAGGACTTTCTTTTCACGATTATCAGTTTATTAAATTCCAAGTTTCCATCTGTTCACGCTGACACACTTTCAGGGGCTAGCTGTGAATCATTTACAAGTTATTTTCTGGAGAAAACTTAACTTAGTTGGATTTTCTATGGCTCCTGATTCGGCTGTTGAAGTGCATGGAATAAGTTCCTAAAACAGATTCATGGGAGATTCCTGGCTTTCTCTTCTTTCTCAAGAGTGTCCTGAGGTCCTGGGACTGCTGCTAATGGGCAGTGCCTCTATGAAGAGTAGTTGTTGCTACACTGGTGAGGAAGTTTTACTTGTGCATCCGTGTTCAGCTACTCCTGGCTGAATGCTTGATATCCAATTGGCTATTAGTTCTTTAGAAGACAGCAAGGTACTTGTATGTGATAAACTTGTTTCTTGGTAACATGAGTGATTTTGTGCTTCAGGCACAAGTAACTTGTTTCCTCTTGGAAAAAGCTCTGTTGGTGTGCACAACAGGCTGTGTCCATCTGTCTGTGACCTCAGACATGGACCAGGGGAACCTAATGTAACATCCAGAATACCATTTGCAGTATCTTCTAACACTGCACTGACATCCAGTGTCTTAAATGGTTACAGTTTTGTGCAGTAGGATGTTGTGTATCCAACAAATGAGCTTTTTGAAAGGTAGGTACTTTTGCAGAGTCATTTAATAATCTGAGTCTGTGAATTTGTCTATACTGAATAAACCACAGAAGTTACAATGGGGTACAATTGCACAGAGAATTAGTATTTGAATAACATGTAAGAACCTAAAAATTGTTTTCTGGCTCATCAATGTTAGTTTTTGCCAAAACAAACCTCAGAGATACTGGTATGAAGAACAGATTGCCATCTGATTCTTCCAGGTTGTGTACATCTTAAGTTTCCAATTACAATTTGAATGGTACAAGTCACTTTTCCCCATCCTGGTAAGCTATTTTATTAATGTGTGCTATGAAACTGCCCCGGCACATTTCATCAGTGACTTTTCTAATGGACCTCTGGATCTGGCTGACTGAATTTTGGAACATGGAAATGGAATTTACATCTGCTACCCGACCTCAGTTCTGCAGCTGAACCTGTTTTAGATGTAAACCAGAAGACGATTCTAGATCAAAGCACTGTTGAGTGTGTTGAAATCCTCACGCTACTAGTTCAGGTCCTTTTTGTCCACAAACTATGCTGTGTTTTGTGATGCTTATGAAAATGTCTCATGGAAAAGGTTGAGGAGTGTGTGCTGATCATTAACTGTTTCGCTGAATGCAGTTTGCCCCAGTGTGGTGTCAACTTTTTGTGTATACCAATATCAGCTGTGTTTGGGAGACAGCTTTTATAAATGAAGAACAAACAAAAAGACTACAGTCGAAATAAGTTTTTCAAACCATTTAGCCCCATTTTTCCGTATGATTATTCATGTACAGATTTAGGTTCTGTGTTTCTGATTGGAACAGGCTGACAAGAGGTTTACACAAACACGCCTCAGGCTAAGGTGAATCTGACACTATAAAGTTTCTATTACCAGTGTGAAATAAGCTGCCTGAAATTGTGTTCCCTACCTGGAAGATTTCCATCCCAAGGAAGAGGTGATGATATTTTCTCTTTCCATGACAGTATTACAAATTTACGTAATAGTAAAACGATGGAAAGAGATTGAGCTGATGTGGAGCACAGTAGTCATTCTTATTAAAAACAATGTCCTTTACAACATTTTTTCAACTCTTCTCTGTTACTTAAAGGTATCGACTCATATTTTGATTATCAGGGGACTGGGCTATTGTAACTCTTTGCTGCTTCAGTTAGATGATAAACCAGTTAATGGATTTTGCATTTGTGCTCTCTGAGTATTAAGTTTTACTCTTGTTTTCTACCTCTTTGCTTATTTCATGTTGAAATTCAGAAGTGCTATTTGTACTATGTTGGCCATTTTTGAAGCATTTGTCCCTTGACATCTTTACCCCAAGACGGTCTTTTGTTAAAATGGGTTTAAGGTGAGGATTTATGTTTCGTATTTCACTAGAAATGCTACAGTTAGTCGGCATCAGATTTGATCCTTTTTTTTCCACCCTCTTTTTGTTGATGTTCCTTCAGGTAGTCATGAGCCTCACTAATTTGCAAATGCTTGCTCCTGCACTTTACAAACATACTGTATTGGAGCCTGTTAATTTTGTTTTTACAATTGCATTCATTGAGTCTTCTCTTGTGTCAGAATCTGGCTTCTGTAACTGGTCCTATCCAAGGTGCATAAAATTCTTTTTCCTGTCTGAGAACAAAGCTTTAGAGACAGAAATTTGAGAAAAGCCTGGTTGTCTTTGACTCAATAAAAGCTCAAAACTTCAATTCTCCGTTGTCTGGATTCTGACAGGAGCTGAATTACATCACTCTGGGTGTGATGAAAAGCCAGATCAGAACTCCTCTGTCAGGCAGAGGGATCAAGAGCACTTTACAGAAGCTTACTAGGTACTGTGGTGTTCTTCATCTTTTCCTCCCTTCCTTTACACAAGGAAATACATTGTGTTAGGGGGTGTACCTGTCTATTAGATGTCAAGTAATGGCACTGTTGATTCTTGGTGCAGGGAGAAGAAAAGGTGTA